CATAAGTGGAAAAACATACCTTGCTCATGGATAGGTAGACTCAACATTGTGAAAATGTCAGTTCTACCCAAAGTGATCTACAGATACAGTGCAGTCCCAATCCAAATTCCACTGGCATTTTCTACTGAGATGGAGAAGCAAATCACCAACTTCATATGGAAGGGAAAGAGGCCCCAAATAAGTAAAGCATTACTCAAGAAGAAGAACAAGGTAGGAGGCCTCACAGTACCTGATTTTAGAACCTATTATACCGCCACGGTAGTCAAAACAGCTTGGTACCTGTACAACAACAGATACATAGACCAATGGAACAGAACAGAGAATCCAGACATAAATTCATCCACCTATGAGCAGCTGATATTTGACAAAGGCCTAAAGTCCATTAACTGGGGAAAAGACAGTCTCTTTAACAAATGGTGCTGGCATAACTGGATATTCATCTGCAAAAAACTGAAACAAGACCCGTACCTCACACCATGCCCAAAAACTAACTCAAAATAGATCAAAGACTTAAATATAAGATCAAAAACGATAAAGATCATGGAAGAAAAAATAGGGACAACGCTAAGAGCCCTGATACATAGCATAAACACAATACAAACCATAAGTAACAATGCACAAGCACCAGAAGAGAGACTAGATAAATGGGAGCTCCTAAAAATCAAACACTTATGCTCTTCAAAAGACTTCACCAAAAGAGTAAAAAGACAGCATACAGACTAGGAAAAAATTTTTAGCTACGACGAATCTGATCAGCGTCTCATCTCTAAAATCTACAAGATACTGCAAAACCTCAACGACAAAAAGACAAATAAGCTAATTAAAAAATGGGCAAAGGATATGAACAGGCACGTTGCCAAAGAAGATATTCAGGCAGCTAACAGACACATGAAGAAGTGCTCACGATCATTAGCCATTAGAGAAATGCAGATCAAAACTACAGTGAGATGTCATCTCACCCCAACAAGGCTAGCATTAATCCAAAAAACACAAAATAATAAATGCTGGAGAGGTTGTGGAGAGACTGGAATGCTAATACACTGTTGGTAGGAATGTAAAATGGTACAACCACTTTGGAAATCGATTTGGCGCTTCCTTAAAAAGCTGGAAATAGACATACCATACGATCTGGCTATCCTGCTTCTTGGAATATATCCTAGAGAAAAGTAAGAGCTGTCACACAAGTAGATATATGCACACCCATGTTCATTGCAGCACTGTTCACAATAGCAAAAAAGATGGAAACAACCTAGGTGCCCATCAACAGATGAATGGATAAATTATGGTATATCCACACAATGGAATACTACGCAACAATAAAGAACAATGATGAATCCATGAAACATCTTATAACATGGAGGAATAAAGAGGTCATTATGCTGAATGCATTTAGTCAGTCACAGAAGGACAAATATTGTATAAGACCACTATTATAAGAACTCAAGAAAAGGTTTAAACACAGAAGATAATGTTCTTTGATGGTTTTGAGGGTGGGGAGGGAGGGGGAAGGGTATTCACTATCTAGATAATAGACAAGAATTCTCTCAGGTGAAGGGAAGGACAGCACACACTACAGGGGAAGTCAGCACAACTGGACTAAACCAAAGCTAAGACGTTTCCTGAGTACAATCAAACACTTTGAGGGACAGAGTAGCAGGGGTAGAGGTCTGGGGATCACGCTTTCAAGGGACATCTAGGTCAATTGGCATAACAAAGCTTATTAAGAAAATGTTCTGCATCCTACTTTAGTTAGTGGCATCTGAGGTCTTAAAAGCTTGTAGGCGGCCATCTAAGATGCATCAGTTGGTCCCAAACACGTGGAGTAAAGCAGAATGAAGAACACCAAGGACACAAGGAAAGTATTAGCCCAAGAGACAGAAAGGGCCTCATAAACCAGAGACTTCTTTAGCCTGAGACCAGAAGAACTAGATGGTGCCCGGCTACCACCAGTGACTGCCCTGACAGGGAAGACAACAGAGAGTCCCTGATGGAGCAGGAGGAAGGTGGGGTGCAGAACTCAAATTCTAGTAAGAAGACCAGACTTAATGGTCTGACTGAGACTGGAGGAACCCTGGAAGGCAGGGCCCCTGATTCTCTATTAGCTCAGAACTAAATTTCCAAGGCCAGCTCTTCAGACAGGTGTTGGACTGGACTGTGGGACAGAAAGTGGTACTCGTGAGGAGTGTGCCTCTTAGCTCAAGTAGATACAAGAGACTCAACAGGCAACTTCTGTCCGAAGGTGAGATGGGAAGACAGAGAGGGTTAGGAGCTGGTTGAATGGACATGGGGAATCGGGTGGAAAGGAGGAGTGTGCTGTCACAGTATGGGGAGAGCAGTTAGAGTCACAACAATATATGTATAAATTTTTGTATGGGAAAAAATATTAAAAAAAGAAAAAGGGCTGCAAGAGAAACATTGTTCTCAAGGGAGAACCAGATTTCTTTAGGGAAAGCTGCTGGAGGATGCATTCTGTGTAGCAGTAGAGGGTACAAGAGGTTTGGAAAGGGTAGAGAGGGAGCTTGTAATAGAATAGTGAACCAGGAATATGAAGTTAAGGGATGACAAAAGAAGGTTGATGACTAAGTGAACCTAATGTATTGAGAATTATCCAGGATTTCCAAAATTCCTCCAGGAATTATAGGAATAGAGACATAGAATTAAGCCAAGGTCTCTCTGTCTTGGTGGGGCGTAAGTGCTACAAATCCTAGGGATATATGGGGTCACAGTCTCCATGGGCTGCTGAGGCTTGGAGATGGTGCTAAATTGAGTGGTAGCAGCTCTGCCTCTTGAGTAAAGTCATTAAAAAATATATGCAAGGAAAAACTATAATGTGCATTAGTTCTAACACCAAAATAATTAAGTCTGATCACAGATCACGTTGACTAGTTAGAAATCAAACTGCAGCTGTGTTAGGTGACATAGAAGCATGTACAGAAACAAGGACATATAGAGAAAAGTGCTGTTAGCTAATGAAAAACAATAATAGAAAAAGTAAGTAATTGACCCAGAATTATTTCCTGTTTCCACATCAATAACTGCATCCCCAAAACAGGGATTAGGTAAAATAGTGGGAATAAGAGATAGAAGGTAGTCTTTGTGACAAAGTCTGGAGATAAAGAATGGAAATTTAGATATAATTTTTAGATTTGTTTTCTCAGAGGCTCCATTTCATCTGGGTTTTTTGTGTTTGTTTTTTCTTGTTCTGGGTTTGGGAGGTTAGATGGTAGGAGGGAATCTGAGGGTGAGCGAAGTTGTTGGTCATACTTCCCAGCGATGGCACACTGTCATCATCAGTTTGCCCCAGGCCCTTCTCTTGATTGATTGATTGAGTGAGTGATTGATTGGTTTTCCCCTTCATCCTTGATCCCCACTGTTTCTCCCCACTCCTGTAGTACTACTGCTTTTTTAGCTTTCCAGCTGGTTAAGAACCAGATCTTCTATTATATTTTTATTTTGTGTAAACCTTTGTTTTTAGGATATTATGCAAATTCTTTTTCTATTATGTAGGAAAGCAAAGCAAGGAAAAGAAAACTTATGGAGAGAAAGTCTTAGAAAAGAGGAAGAAGAAAAACAAAAGCAACTCCAGGAAAAAAAAATACAAGAGAAAATTCAAGAAGAGGAACAGAAAGCTGTGGAGAAACAGTGTAAGGATAAAGGTAAAAATAATAGATTTGGTTTTTCCAAGACAGAGCAGCAAAAGCTTCTTTATTTTTTCCTTGAGGGGCAAAAAAAATTATAAGAAAATGAAAAAGAAAGATGCTAATCTTAGAGTCAGAAAAAAACATTTTCTAAATTAAACTCGGATGACAAGTGTGTAGGCTTGAAAACAGAATGAGGGTAGAAATCTTAAAACATCACAGAGAAAAGACAATAGTCATCTCTCACTACCTGTGAACAGACTCTGACATGATTTTAATAATTGAAATGATAATAGTTTTAAATATTTTATTCAACCTGTGTGGAATAAAACCAGTGTAACTAAACTGTTTATGTTAATGAAACAACAACAAAATTTTAAGTTTTTGCACATTAAAATTTTCTCAGAAGGTATACTTTGTTTTTGGTATACCTCAGTCAACACTGTTTACTCGCCAATCTTCTCATTTATGACTTCCCTTTTTGTGCTTTTCTTCCCTATTATATTCTGATCAGCACAGATCAAACAAAGTGTCTCACTTCTTGGTCTCCTTCTACTTTGTACAGCTCAAACATGCACCTCTTCTGAACTTTCCTTTAGATCCATGTGCATGGTTTTTCCTACATATCAAGTCTTTGTTTTACTGCCTCTGACTTGTTTGCCTTTGTATTGATTATATGACTATTCAAGACATTTCAATCCTACCAAGCCTGTATCAAATGAATTTTCATTATACTGTTAGATGCTCATTTTTTTCTTTTAGATTTTAATAGCTCTTTTTTATTGGGTCATAGCAAAGACGTATATGCATGAAAGCAGCAAATAATGACAGTTATCTTCTCTTCAGGTGGAACAGCTAGTGCTTTGGTGAATTATAGAGCGTTATACCCATTTGAAGCAAGGAGCCATGATGAGATGAGTTTTAACTCTGGAGATATTATACAGGTAGGAAATGAAGTTGAGGCTTTTTTCTTATGAATAAGCTGAATACAATGTAATATATTACTTTCCATAATAACAGTATTGACTCTAATAATTTTATGTAGTGATTTATCTTTATAAAATATTTCTTAAATATCACCTCATTTGGCCTTTACAAGATACCATATAGCTATATGGAACAGTTATTATTACTGTCATATTAAAGATAAGTAAGCTCACAGTGGTTAAGAGCTCAGGCTGCTAACCAAACGGTCAGCAGTTTGAATCCACCAGCTGCTCCTTGGAAACCCTATGGGCAGTTTTACTCTGTCCTATAGGGTCGCTATGAATCGGAATTAACTCCATGGCAGTGGGTTTGGATTTTTCAGTTTTAAGCTCAGACTTACACAAATTATAACTGTCAGCATCATGGTGGTAGAGTGGGATGCAAGTACATGCCCTTTGATTTCCAGATCCAGTGTTCTTTCTAACCTTAATAAGGTTGACAAATCATAAAGTGTGATATTGATTTGTTATTTTAATAAATTATCAGTCAAGTTTTGTTGGGCTGGTTATTTTCCGGAAACTGTTAAAGAGTTGAAGGAGTTAGGTTCTGCAGCACTCACTGGTTATAAGCCACTTGTTCCATAGAACAAAAGGTCTTTATTTGGGGGGGAAATACTAAATAGGCAATAGATAAGTGGTATCCTGGATGAAGGGTGAGACAATACACAATACAGGGGAAACCAGCACAACTTGTACAAAGAAAGGTCATGGAAGCTCCATAGACACATCCAAACTCCCTGAGGGACTGAATTGCTGGATGGAGGGCTGTTGGGACCATGGTCTCAGGGAACATCTAGCTCAATTGGCATAACACAGTTTATAAAGCCAATGTTCTACATTCTACCTTGGTGAGTAGTGTCTGGGGTCTTAAAAGCCTGTGAGCGGCCATCTAAGATATTCCACTGGTCTCATCCCTTCAGAAGCAAGGGAGAATGAAGAGAACAGGATACAAGGAGAAGGTTAGTCCAAAGGACTAATGGACCACAGCTACCAAGGCCTCCACCGGACTGAGTCCAGTACAGCTAGATGGTGCATGGCTACCACCACTGACTGCTCTGACCAGGATCACAACAGAGGGTTCTGGACAGAGCTGGAGAAGGATGGAGAACAAAATTCTAACTCACAAAAAAAAGACCAGATTGACTGGCCTAAAGGGGACTGGAGAAACCCCGAGAATATGGCCCCCAGACACACTTTTAGCTCAGTGGTGAGGTCATCTCCGAGGTTCACCGTTCACCCGGCGAGTGGACAGCCCCATAAAACCAAATGGAACTAATGAGGTACAGCAGTCCAGGGACAACGGCCAGAAAGCAGAAGGGGACAAGGAAGCTGGTGATAGGGAACCCAAGGTTGAGTAAGGATATTGTTGATGTATTGTGAGATTGTTAACCATTGTCAAAGGGTAACGTGTAGTAACTGTTAAATGAGAAACTATCTTGTTCTGTAAACCTTCATCTGAAGTGAGAATAGCAGCACAATTGAAAGAGCGTAGTCAATGTCACTGAACTGTGCATGTAGAAATTTTTGAAATGGTGTATCTTTGGCTGTGTATATTTTCACCAAAAAGAAAAAAAAAAGGTCGAGAAGAGAGAGGGTTGACATGTTGTCATAAAACAATGTGTGTACTACTGTTTCATGAGAAACTATTTATTCTATAAACCTTCACCTGAAGTACAATAAAAATAATAATAATAATATTTTATTGTGTTTTTGGTGAAGGTTTACACAGCAGTTTAGGTTTCCATTCAACAATTTCTACACGGATTGTTCAGTGACATTAATTGCATTCTTCACAACACACGAACGTTCTCACTATTTCTGTTCTGATTGTTCCATTTGTGGTTCAAAGATTTTAAATTTTAGACCCAGACACACCTGGATCAGACTCCTTCTTCCACCATTAATTAACTACGCAACCTTGAAAAATAAAGCCCTTATGAAGGCTAATTTAAAAAAAAGGTCTTTATTGTGTGATCACAAACTATGTCAAATGGAAGATGCAGGGAGTCCTGGTGATAGAGCCAGTATGATATATTGAAAAGAGTACAGACTTTGGAAGCACAACAGCTTGGATTTTAATCTCTGCTTCAGTTTTCTTTTTGGTAAGTTAATATTACCCAGAGGACCTAACCAGTGCCTTTTTTCCCCCTACACTGTCACCAATTTGTTGCGCTTTTCCTTTATTTATCTGTTAGTAGTGGATGTTCGATAATACTTGGGTAGAGTTTACTTGGGATAGAGTTTATCAGAACTGTCTACTCAAGCACCCAAGATAATTCCCAACCACATATTTCTTCTGCTGACATTGTCGCCACAGACAGTTCCATTGCTGCTCCTGAGCTGATGAATGGGTCTCTTTTAGAGCCAGCCTCAGTCCACAGTCTCTGCTGTCTCTACTGTTCTTCCTCTGATTCTTAATAATAGTAAGATGGTGTCTGAGGACGTGTGGTGCAAATGGTTAGTGTGCTTGGCTGCTAACCAGAAGGTTGGAGGTTGGAGCCTACCCTGAGACACTTTGGAAGAAAGGCCTGTTGATCTGTTTCCCAAAGATCAGCCATCAAAAAATCTATGGAGCCCAGCTGGGATCACGCTGAGTCTGAATTGACTCCAAGGCATCTATTTTGATTTGGTCCGATCTGAGGATGTAGAGATGCAGCCTTTCTCTGGGCATGTTTCAGGCAAAAACCTAGTTACATTTGGATATGTCTTTCATTTATTCCTTCAACAAATATTTGTTAAGGGCTGATTATGTTAAGCTAGAGATAGTGGTGAAAAACATACAATCTCTGCCTTTAAAGAGCTTTATAGTCTTATGAGAAAGAAAAACAACTAACGTATAGCAGCAGGGGAAGGAAAGTAAAAACAAAGATGTGGACTGTCACCAGCTCTAGAATGGCGTCTCCCATGGCCAGAGAGCAGCACTGGAAGCCTGGTGGCAGTGATGGCTGGAATGTAAAGTTATCTGGGGTCTCTTGGGTGCTTGTGTTCTTCTGCTGAATTATTGTTATAAAGGCTGAATTGTGGTGGTACTCATAGATTCCTGATTTGGACAAGTTGGTTGGTGATAGTGCCATTCACTGAGAGAGGAAAATGAGAAGGAGGAAGTTAAAGTGGGAATGACAGTAAAATCAATGAGTTTGAGATATGCAGGCAACAGTTGGATGTCTGGAGAGATCTCAGACAGAGATCTGGGCTGAGAATGCAGTTTGAATGTCATCAGTGTGCTGTGATGGCAATTGAAGATATAAGAGTAGTAAAGATTGAAGATAAGGGAGTAGTAAAGTGAGTGAGAAAAAAACTGAGGATGCAATCCCTGAGAAACATGGGCATTGAAGGGATTATTAGAGGAAGAGGAGACTTAGAAGGAATACCAGAAGTAGGAGAAAAACTAGGAGAATTTGGTGTTAAGGAACTTTAAGAGAGTGGTGCACATGTGAAATAAGACAAGGACTAAAAAATATTTATTAGATTAGCAACGAGATTATTGATGACCTTGAGAAGAACAGTATCGGTTGAGTGGTGGGGAAGGAGTCTCATTTTCATGAGGTAAGGAATAAATGGCGAGACATGAAGAGGAGATGGTGAGTGTGTAAAACTCTTTGAAGGAGCTTGGTTTTGAAAGGGGGAAGAGAGCGAGAATGATAACTAATGAGGAATGTGGGTTGAGAGAGGTTGTCTGTGTGTGTGGTTTTTTTTCCCCTAACTTGGCTACAATGTGGACAGTTTAAATAATGACAAAAGATCTGCAGAGAGGGAAGGGTTTAATGATGCAGGAAAGAGAATAAATAATTGATAACAAAACCCATTGCCATTGAGTTGATTTTGACTCCTAGTGAGCTTATAGGTCAGAGGAGAACTGCCTTATAGGGTTTCCAGGTAGCAGCTGGTGGATTTGAACTGCTGACCTTTTGGATAGCAGCCATAGCTCTTAACCACTGCACCACCAGGGCTCCAAATAATAGATAGAGGTTGTTTTTTCTAATTAAAGTATAATTTAGTTATAGTGAAGTACACAACCTTAGTGTATCACTCAAGGAATTTTTACATATGTATATACCAGTGAAACTACCACTCAGATGAGTCTGTTGAGCATATTAGCACTCCGGAAGTCACCTCATGCCTCCCTGTTCTGACCAATAGATGGGAGATGAAGAAAATTCTTGGGAAGTCTAGAGGATCCTAGAGCACAGGGAGAGAAGTAGAATAACTAGATAATGAGAGGACTGGAGGAAAGGATGGATGTGGTTATAAGTAAATTTGGCTAAGGGAGAAGGTGAAGTCAGGTCTGAGGGCTTCTGTATTCTTGGTGAGATAGGACACAAGGTCTATTCAACTTAATAGATGAGAGTAGCAGAGGAAGTTTGATTGAAAGTGAAAAAAATTGGAAATTCCACCGAGTCCTGGTCACATTTTCCATAACAACCTGAAGTGTCTTTCTGTCCTTTTAATCTGTTAGTGGTATTTTCGAAGCAGTAAATAGTTTCCCTAGGCCTGTGAGAATTTATGTGAAAGTTTCTAGTTTAACTTACCATGTAAATTGACAGCTAAAAACTTATTATAACTATAAATGACAGATATGAAATTGATTAAAATTGACCCCATTTTAGAAAAAACAAAAAACTTGGTGTAACCCTTAAGAATAAATGAACTATCTCAGGGGACATCTAGGTTAATTGGCAAAATACAGTTCTTAAAGATAATGTTTTACATCCTAGCCTGGTGAGTAGTGTCTGGGGTCTTAAAAGCTTACAAGTAGCCGTCTAAGAAGCAATTATTGGTCTCTTCATGCCTGGAGCAAAGGAGAACAAAGAAAACTGAAGACTCAAGGAAGCAATTAGTTCAAAGAACTAATGGCCCACATAAACCACAGCCTCCTCTAACCTGAGACCAGAAGAACTAGATGGTGCCCGGCTACCGCTACCAACCACTCTGACTGGGATCACAATAGAAGGTCGAGG